TTTTTTTTTTTTTTTTTTTTTTTTGGGTACCGGGGATTGAACTCGGGTCTTTGTGCTTGCAAGGCAGGCCCCGGAACCGGAACCGCTGAGCTAAATCCCCAGCCCCCAGCAGGTTCTTAACTGTCATCACAGAAAGGTATTTCAGGATGCAGCGGTGCCCAGGCAGATTTATTAGGCAGAGTAAAAAACTAAGAGAAAATGGGAAGGGACTTCAGCTTGAGGAGCTTGGGAGCTTGGGAGCTTGAGGAGCCGAAGAGGGCACAGCTCCGATGAACAGGATCAGACTGACCCATTAGCCAAGAATGAGCACATCACAGAAGGGCTAAGGCAGGCTATGGTCTGGTTGGTCATTAATTCAGTACTGGCTGTGCAAGATGGACCTGGCAGAAGCCCTTATTATTTGAGGGAACAATTTGGTCTCTGCCTGAGGCAGTCACAATTTTACAGAGGTCTTCCTGTAATCCAAGGTAACTAGGTTTAGGGCAAAGATTGGATTCTTCGTGGTGCTCATTGGAAGTGGTATGTCCCTATAAGTTTCTTATCTTTGGTGTCTCAATCTTGAAGGGGGATAACATAAATTATGTAAATCTAGGACTGACCTTGTACTGTATTGCTGGCTTTTAGACAGACACCCCCTAAATGACTAACATGCTTAATGCAGAGCTGAGTAGATCAGCTGAGAGACAGATATGTAGGGAGTGCTGACACATGTCCATAATCCCAAAACTCGGAAGCTGAGGCCAGAGGATTGTGAGTTCAAGGCCACCCTGGGCTACACAGCAATAACTCCCCCTACACTACTCCCATACACACAGTATGAGAAGAATACAAATTGAAAGTAAAGTTTTGTTCTGATTTTAGTTACCTATTGGATATCTATGGGCTCAACTGAGAAAACACTGTTTTGTTTTGTTGCCAAAAGAAACTTCAAGTCCCTAACTGCCTCCAAAGAAAACACAAGTCATGCTTCTAATGAGTAACAGATTAAGGACCAAGGAGCTTGTTTGTCTTTGGTCCCTGTGCTGGTCTCACTGTGCCAGCACCAGTCACGTGTGCCTCAGTGACCAACCTTTGATGGCTCCTGCAAAGGGCCAGAGATGCACTCCATCCAAGGTGAATTCCCTCTGAACCCCAGTCAGCCTTTGAGGATGGGAGCTTTATCCTCAGTCAGAGATATCACATCTAGATAGGCAGAGGAGCCCATCTCCGAACAAGAACAATCTCATATTAAAGTTCCCATCTCAAAGAGATACTCCCACACATGCATTTCCCCCAAAGATTCCCTGTGTCTTTCAACAAATCAATTCGATAAGGAGTAGAAGCTAAAAATCCCCACGCTCTTTGCCTTCAACCTTTTTCTGCTCACAGACCCACTCCCTAATGTTTCCGAAAGGGACATTCTCCCAAAAGAAATGGTGCTAGAGGACAAATATCAACCCTGCCCAAATGAGGAGGAGCCAGGTGATATTTACCAATCTCCCAGGCCAGAATTCTCTTTTCCCAGAATCCTTTGCCCTCAGAACTGTGGCCTTCCTTATTCTCCCTACACCCCAATTCTCAGGCCCTACACCTGGATGTCCTCCTCTGGAGAACAGGTGAAGGGAGATCAAGCCCTGCAGGCCTGCCCCCTTAATCCAGACCGTGAGAACCCCTGCTGCAGTCCTGTGCCCCTCCCCCAGGCCCACACACTCAGGTCCAGAGCTGGGAAGTGTTCCCACAGTGCATTAACTCTGAACAGTAAAGAAGAAAGCAGAATGTGCCACTATCCAGCCTTTGTCAATAATTCATGAGGCTCAGACTGAGGGGCACCAGAGTCAGTCAGTTTTCCTCTGACATGGAGAAAATTAGAGTTAGGTTCTCTTATCTCATCAGGATGTGCTGAGTACCACAACTGTAATTTCTTTTTTATATACCATAAATCCAGTGCATGCCTGTTATTTCACTTGCTATTCATACCCCCCAGTGGAATGCTCAAATCCTTTCTTCAGCCACTCAACTGACCAATACAAATACTAAAGGAACCTTTAGCAAATATGATTGTATTAAACAGTGATCCCCAGTTCTGGATTTCCAAGACCAAAATTCTCTACCCTTGAATTGTGATGACTGACATAAGGTTGACGAACTGATGATTTTACCAACAACACTGACTTCTAAACCCACCTATTTGCTTTCATCATCTTTTATTTCCTTATTTTTATTGGTGAATGTTTGTAGTACATAATGACTACATTCATCATGGAGAGCTGGTACACATATATAACACATCTTAATTCTTTTCACCTCCATTCCCCCTTCCTCCTTCCTCCACCTCTTTCATCATCTTTTCTGAAAGAACAAACACCAAAGAGTATATAAAAAGCACAATACAGAATAAAGGACTGTTAAGTTAAATATGCTAGGCCTTATGAAATTCACTATATTATCTTTATTTTTCTCAAACTAGTGAAAACGGTGCCATAAACCAGCACTGCTTCTCAGCCTGGCATTTGGAATCCACTGGGTTAAACCAATTCAGAAGCTTGTACTTGGGCTTGCTGGGGCCTTTCCAGAGTGTACCATAAGCCATCCAGATTTATTAATTCTCCCAGAAACCCAGGAGGGAGATCATTTCAGCCCACTTGGCAGAAATGGAGGCTGAAGTCTTGAACACAGAATTTATAGCCAGTGAGGACTTTATTCATCATCTATTTCACATCCTCAGTTCACAGAAGAAGAGTCTGGCCTGTGGCAGCAATAATAATTATTATGTGGTGGCAATAATTACTGTGTGTTTAGTAGTTTACAGTTCATAAAGCACTTTTATATTCAGCAAATATTTATTGAACTAGGATAGAGGCTAAGACCTGGAGACACAGCGATTAGGGAGAATTTGAGTGCTCCTGAGTCTGTATTTCCACCACTGGCTGGGGAAGCCTCTAGCATCCTGTTTCACTTAGTCGCTGTAAAATGTGAAGTCCCTTTAGATGGACTCAGGGTCAGTCCTGAACAATGATTACTACAGTGATCGTAGTCTGTCCTCCAACTATAAAGATGGAGGAAACCTTGAACCAGAGGGAAGGGCAGTACCAAGCTTAGGCCAGCTACTTGGCCTCACCTTTCTTCTCCTGGCTCCTCTACCTTCACATGGTGAACTTCATGGAAGACCACAGTCCTCACCTTCAAAGGCAGTCTCAAAACATCTGCCCTAAACTAACTCAGCCTCCTCTACACACACACACACACACACACACACACACACACACGGGCAAGCAGAAAGGGGGCTGTGTTCAGATGCCTGCCGGGTCTAAAGAAACGTGAACCAGGAGCTCATTCTCACCCGCCAGGGGAGAGCCAGTGGCGCACAGAGTAATGAACCGTGGATCGCGGGTCACAGCGCCTGTGCGCAGGCAGGGGAGGTGGGCGGCCGACTCCCGAGTCAGCCCGCCCCTCGGCCTACCTCCCTGTCCCATACAGCTTTCACTTCCCGGAGCCCGGAGAAGTGCTGGAGCGTGAGCCATGCTTACGGCTGTACTGCGGCTCGGGGGCTGTTCTCAGGCGTGGAGATCGGTGAGGATGGCTAGCTCCGGGGTTACCCGCCAGAAACCGCTCGCGAATAAAGTGGCCCTGGTTACAGCCTCCACCGACGGGTGAGTGCCTGGGCTGGTTTCTCTGAGGCCAGAGTTCTCTGGAAACAGATAGTGGCCTCTTTCTTCTCCTTTTTTTTTTTTTTTTTTTTTGTCTCCTGGGGCCCTGACCTCAGGCCTCATAGGCAGCCCTGTCCCAGGGGAAAAAGGCACTACGTGGTAGGCCTGGGGATTCCTCCGAATCCCCAGACTCTGGGTCCTCCACTGCCAGTCCTGCTGTCCCTGCTGCCATGCCCTAGGGTGCCAGTTTAGTGCTGCCCCATGGACCCAGGCTCCCTGTGCTCTGGCCTGCCCCAATCAACAACGCCACCTAGAGTCTGGGAAGACCAGAAATCCAAAACTCCAGATTTCAAAACAAGTTCACTGACTCCACCATCCACTACAATGTTCCAGACACCCCATTTGGGCTCCTGACCAGTCTCCTAGAGCAACATCACCCTAACCTAGATAGGACACAAGGCCATTGTGAACTGATTGTTGTCTAGTCAGTACACTTTAGCCTACTCCGTATGGCCTGTGTCACCCACAGCCCTTGTCTGTCCTGTTTCTCATTCCTAAAGGACTTTGCTAGATACCTGCTCCTCACAAATCTGAAATACAGATGTATGAGAAACTCTAATGACTGGCAAATGCAAAACGTAGTCCTTACTCCCAGGGGAATATTTACATTATTACCCATCTATTCCCATGCACCCCCAAAACATAACTAAGGATATAAGGCCAGGGATTTAGCTTAGTGGTGCTGCCGCCTGACTCCCAAGTGCAAGGTCCTGAGTTCGATTTCTGGTACCCAAAAAAAAAGAAGAAAAAGAAAGGTTTTTTTTAAAAGCCAGGGTTTTAGCTCAGTGGTGCTGCTGCCTGCCTCACAAGTGCAAGGTCCTGAGTTCGATCCCTGATACAAAAATTAAAAAAAAACAAGATTAATAACTAAGGATATAATTTTGGAGATGATGTACTCTAGCAAGGGAGATGGTTGGGTGAGTTCAAGTTCTTTCCAGTGAGAACTTCAAACAACAAACGTGGCTGCTACTGCACACCTATCACATTTCTCTATCCTCAGTCCCCACTGGGTATGGGGCCTGTTACCAGGATTAGGGCCTGTGGAAAGTGATGTCAGTGCCTGGGAATGGAGGCTGAGGGACAAGATCACAATAAATGAGGTAAGCATGACTACCTATGTGGTACCCTAGTAGAGACACATGGAGATCATACAGAGGGAGAGGTAAAATCCAAACCCAGGCACTCTGACTCAGGAGCTCATGCTCACAGCCTCTTCCCCTGGACATTTCTAGACAGTCTTAGTCTTTCTCTTCCTGCAGGATCGGCTTTGCCATCTCCCGGCGTCTGGCCCAGGATGGGGCCCATGTGGTCATCAGCAGCCGGAAGCAACAGAACGTGGACCGCGCAGTGGCCACGTTGAAGGGGGAGGAGCTCAGTGTGACGGGCACCGTGTGCCACGTTGGGAAGGCCGAGGACCGGAAGCAGCTGGTGGCCATGGTGAGCAGCAGGGCTATGGGCATGGAGCCAAGAGGTGGCAGAAGGGAGCCAGCCTGAGTCTCTATCTCTGCTTTCCTGAGCAGTTTTGGTGAAATCCAATCAAGCACTACTAACTAAAACATAACAGTGCATTCATGTGCTCACATCAAGTCACCAACAATGTTTAATTGTATGCCTGTTATGCCATATCTCAAAGCCTAAGAACCATCCATACCAGTCAAAAAATCAAAAACCACTCTAATGCTTCAACCCTGCATTATCCCTTGGGCATCCACCCAAAACAGCTGGTCCTGGTACTCTCTTAGTTTCCCATGTCACTGGGCAGATGAGAAGGGTAAATCCAATCACAAAGTAGATGTGATTACTAGCCCACCCATGAGCTAGTAAATGATCCCCTGATCTTCAGTTTAGTGTCCCTGGGAGCTTACTGGAGGCAGCTCATCATATTTCAGCCACCTATTTACTGTGTGCTCTTTACTCTATTCAGAACCCTTCACAGGTTTTTCCCTAAACCTGACAACAATCCAAGCAAGAAAAGGACTATTCTTCCTGTTTACACAGAACTGGTTCAGATAATTGGAGACACTTCCCAGTGTCCCACAGCCAGGGCTCACTTCAGCAGCACATATACCAGTGTCCCACAGCCAATATGGAAAGAACTGTGATTCAACCCAGGCCTACCAAGCTTCTGGCAGCCTACAAACTACTGGGCACTTCTCCATTAGCACACGGCCAGCCCTTAGGCGTCCATATGAATTTTAGTCTCAACATGTCTAAGCCAGTGTCACAGTGGTACTTGACAGCAGCCTTCCAGCTACACAAGAAAATATAAACCACTTAGTTTCCTCTTCCCTGAAGGGTCACAGTGTGTACTTTGTTTTCTGGAGTGAATGGAAAAACCTTGCACTAAGGAAAAGTATAGGATTGTGATAACAGGTTGGAAGGTTGTCGGAAATAATTTGGGTAATCTTAGAAGAAGAGGCTCTTAAATTATGGTCAACAGTAGTATGGTGGGCAGAATAAAGTAATTCTATTTTAAGGAATGTTTGGCAGATCCTCAAATGTGCATAGGAGAAAATTGAATGTGATTCCAAGAAGATCACCCTGCCTGGCATAGGTTGCTGGACAGAGCCTGAGATTATGACCTTGATCTTGAGGATGAAAAGAAACATTTAGGAACATGGGCTAGTCAGTGACTAGCTATTTGGAATGTATGTAGCAGTTTTATTTTCAGTGCTGGGAATTGAATCCAGGACCTCATGTACTTTAATGTCAAAATCCTAACTGGGTTTTGTGGTGCATGCCTGTGGGAGGCTGAAGCAGGAAGATGGCAACTTCAAGCCCACTCTGAGCAACTTAGTGACTTAGTGAGGCCCTGTCTCAAAACTAAAATGTAAAGAAAGGACTATGGATGTATCCCAGTGTAAAGGCCCAAGGTTTAATTCCCAATACTGGAAAAAAGATTCTACTGGGAAAACATCCTCTGCCCACTACCCAACCAGATCCACCTAGTGAATCCTGTGTCTCTAGCTCAGAAGTGGGGCTTGATCTAGACACCTTGAGGACTGAGTAGAAGAGACTGGAAGTGGAGAGACAGAGTAAGGGTGGGGTTCTAAATGTCTCTGCGAAATGAGCAGATAGCCAAGGAGCAACTGAAGAAGAGAAGTCTGTAAGGCCATAGCGGCATTCACGGACCCAGGAGTAGTGTGGGGAATAGACTACATGGGAAGAACAGGACAGCAGCCTCCTTAGCCTCAGAAGTAAGAAGAAACTGAGGCTTTAAATAAATTGAAATGGTCACTAAGGAAGGACAATCTGGTAGTGGTAAGAAGAATAATAAGAGAAGAACCTGGACCAAGGACATTACTGCAAAACCCATTGTTTCATGCAGGTCTAGAGCAGTGGCAGTGGGATCAGAATAGATTTCCCAAGAGACATTTAGTAGAATCAACTAAGATGATTCCAAGCATATGTCTAGAAATTAGAAACAGGAGAAGTGACTCAAAAACAATTTTCAGGGAGTGTGTATGACCAGTGTCAGGGTAGGAAGTGATACGAGACGTGGCAATTTGAGATGTGTTCTATTGCCAGCTATTACCCTGCAATGAGAAAAGCTGCTAGCCTGAGAATGGTTAGTACTCTAGGGATCTTAATTTGTGTAAATAGATGTCAGGACACAAACAACTCATACCCACATTGGTGTAGTGATTATGCAATTCAGAGCAAGCCCTTTAGAGGAAGGTCATGGATACCTTTCTCTTTCATCTTTATGGTTCTGTCTCTGTTCAGTCAAAACCAGCCTTCTCAGGGTCCAAGAGATGGAAGGAGGGCAGAGGAAAGGAGAGGGAGGGCAAGAGAAGGGGACATAAAGAGATTTAAGATATGTTATGTATATATACCAACTCCCCATGATGAATGTAATCATGTATTGTAAACAGGTACTATTAAAAAAATTTTAAATGGAAAAAAACAGCCTTCTCCCCTAGCTCTCCCAGTGATTCTGGTGCAATCCACTGTCCTGTCCCCAGCCCAACACATATGTATCACCTCCAACATAATCTACACTTTCCCAATCACAAGTCTGTGAGACTTTGACAGAGCCAAGGCAAGTAACTACTGTAGGGCTTTGTGCTGCCAACGCCAAAATTTAGAGGGCACGAGAAAGTATGGGTTCTAGTTTTAAAAGATTGTGTGACTTTAAATTTTGTTAAATTTACATGTTGACAGCCCAGGCATTCCTTTAGCAGTGTAGAAACAACTGAGCTTAGCACCTCATTAGCAGGAATAATTAGTTAAAAGGAGAAGCTAGCAGATGGTGTGCATTGTTAATAACACCCCTCCTGTGCCAAATCTGAGGCACAAAGTTGATCAAGGGCCCATTTAGTATTGCTTGCCCAAGGCATCAAAATTGCTAGTTTGGGGCAAATTCAGTCTGGCTTCGGGGTGGCTAAGTACTGAAAACCTTTGTTGGAAGGTTGTCCTTGGCCAGTGACTACTCTAGCACATGCCTTCGTCACCTGCTTACAACTTATTAAGGAGGTGGGATAGCTTCTTTTTTGGCTTTCTCAATTTAAACCTCAGTTTCTGCCTTGAATCTTCTGTGCCTCTGGGAGAGAGAGAGACAGAGAGAGAGAATATGGCATCATGGCTGAGTGTGGAAGTGTTTTAAACCCAGGCTAATGTCTTCACCATTGTGGTGCTCCTATCATCCAGTTTCATAGCGATCCAACTTACTTTCAAAGGACTCCTGGGAACTAGCTCTGTGCTACAAAGTACACCAGAAGACTTCATCTCGGTTCTGCCTCCACTAGCTTTGTGCCCTGAGCAAATCCTCTTACCTCTGTCAGACACCAAATGATCAGGCTTCCTATTTGTAGCTGACCCTAATGCATCATTACGGAGTCATATGATCTTAAATTAATTTCAGTGGGCTACAGTTTCATCACCTCCACCAAGAGGCTAGCTGACACCACCAGGCTAGCTGACAAGGCCCCTCCCACTGATGACCTTTCCTGGGTCTGTTTAAACCCGTTTCTCCATTCAGGTAAATGTGGAAGTTCGACTCTGAGATCATGGTAACTCATTCAAAGAGACCAGACAGCAAGCATTTGGGGAATTAGGACTGTAACTCGGTGTGAAAAGAAGAGGGGGATCCAGAAATAGATTTTGCAGCAAGAGTTGAAGGCACGATAATGAAGGAGCTCCCCTGAGAGAAGATGTAAAGAAAAGAGCAAAAGGTCAGAGACACCCTTAGAAGGAAGGGCAGGCTAGAAAGACTGCCAAAGAAATAAGACAACCTTAAATGGTCAGCAGCAGAGATTAGGGTAACCTTAAAGAGAAAAATGTTTCAAGAAAAGGAGATGTAATTTTGATAACTGTTCTTAAGACATCTCTTATGAACACTGATAAAGGAACCTCCTTTACCTACCTGTAGCCCTGACCCAGACCTCCTCCTCTCTATAGGCTGTGAAACTTCATGGAGGTATTGATATCCTGGTCTCCAATGCTGCTGTCAACCCCTTCGTTGGAAACCTGATGGATGTCACTGAGGACGTATGGGACAAGGTGAGAGATGATTAAAACTGCCGAGGGCTGGGCCTCAGAAAACATTCAGCACAAACCCAGTCTGCAGTTAGCACGTCTCCATCAAGCGCCATGGGAGTGTGATGTGGCACACACCTGGCATGCACCTGGAAAAGTCCGAGTGAGGGGTGGCTTCCTCTGTCCTGCTCTTCTCTTCCATCTCTGCTTCTGCCCAGTTTTGCCTTCCATTTGTTCTCTGCTAGCCATCTTCTGCTTCCCTTCCCAGCTCTCTCCCGCAGTGTGCTTACCCACGCTCTGCTTCCTGGTTTATTTCCAGCAGAGCTGTGGCAGCCAATAGGCCAACAACTAATACACTTAAACTTACACACCCACCCGTCCCCTTTTTAGCTGCCGAAGAAATGCTCTTTCATTAGCCAGGAAACGTTAATAGCTGCTAGCTGGGTGAAATACCAATCCTCGTGACATGACTGAAGTTGCTGCTTTATATCACACAGCCTTTGAAAAAGACCTGTCCTCTTTTCTTCTTAAAAACAGTTTGGTGAAAACCTGAGAGCCAGGTGTCTAAATTCAAATGCAGGAATTTTGGATTTGATGTGATTATGTATGCTTATACCATATTCATAATATATTTCACTCACCTCCATCCTCTAGTTATAAAGTTTTTATTAAAATATTTGCCTGTATTTACTAAGGTTCATATTGCCACATGATTTTGAAATATAGATTTCTTATGGTCTCCCATCGCTTTTCCTTTGCACTAATGTCAATAATTTCTGAACACTAAAGTTTAAGGATGACAAAATATTGTTATTTATCAGTGTTCCACACACATAAGGACCAAAGTGCCAAAATGTTTTTCAGTGAAACAACTCCTGATTTTGATATTTTAAAGTGAAGAAACATCTTTTGTGAACAGTCTAGACAGTAATGAAAATAGGTTTTTAACCAAGTAATGATTTATTTTTTCTTTAATATGATAGTATATCCTACTTAAATGCAATGACTGACCCTTGTCTGTACTCTGCAATTGTTTGTTTGTTTGTTTGTTTGAGACAGGGTCTCACTATGTAGTGCAGGCTGGCCTCAAACTCACAATGATCTTCCTGCCTCAGCCTCCTGAGTGCTGAGATTATAGATGCATACCACCAAGCCCAGCTTGAAATTTTTTTAAATGTGAGTTTTGGGGAAAGCTTACCATAGACAGTATACTAGATAAAATTACTATCATCAAGGTAAAATTCTTGAAGATGTAGGAGTAGGCAAAGACTGAACAGAACCCTGACAGCACAGGAAACAATACCAAGAATCAACAAATGGTATCATATCAAGTTAAAAAGCTTCTGTACAGCAAAGGAAAACACCACCAGAGTGAAGAGATAACCTACAGAGTAGGGGAAAAATTTGCCAACTACTCCTCAACAAAGAGCTAATATCTAGAATATATAAAGGACTCCAAAAAAATTAGACCCCTGAAATGTAAAGACCCAATCAAAGACTAGCCATCTGAAATGTTCAACATCACTGACCATTCAAGAAATGCAAATTAAAACAACACTGAAATTCCACAGCATTCCAGAAAGAATGGCTATGTTCAAGAAATGAAATACTAACAAGTGCTAGAGAGGCTTGTGGGCGGGGGGACCCTTCTTCACTGATGGTGGGAATGTAAACTGGTACAACCACTAAAAACTAAAAATAGAAATTCTATTTGACCCAGCTATAACCCTTCTAGGTATCTTCCTGAAAGAATTAAAGACATCATATTTCAGAGATCCATGCATACCCATGATTATAGCAGCACAACTCATAATAGCTAATTCTTGGAAGCAACCTATATGTCCATCAACAAATAAATGGATAAAGAAAATGCAACATTTACACACAATGGGAGTACTACTGTGCCATAAAGAAGGATAAACTTGAGTCATTTGTAGGAAAATGGATTCAGAATGTTAAGTGAAGTAAATCAGAGACACAGCTTAAACAGAACATCATTTCTCTTATGTAAGAAATCCAAACTATAAATAAAGTGCAAAATAAAAGACAGACAATAGGAAAAAAAATGTTAAATTTCTTGTGTGTGATAAAGAATTATGGATGTGCAAGAGAATGTTTTTAGTTTGGGGACATATACACTAAGATGTTTACAGATACAGCATTGTCATGTCTGCAACTTCATTTTAATGGTTCCATTTGTTGTTTTTTTTTAACTGTATGGACACATAGAGCAAGTGAAGCAAAATGTGAAAAATGAATCTAGATTCTATTACAACTTTTTTTTTTTGCAAGATTGAAGTTTTTCAGAATAAGTTGGCATGGGGACTGGGAGAGGAATATCCCAATATTATTTACATTAGACCTATGCAAATAAGGTCGCACAATTGTTTTAAATTGGGAATGGTGAGCTTTGGATTTTGGCCTATGCCTCAGCTTCCCCAGAAAGAACTTCCTCATGATATCACTTCCTGATGAATATCCAGCTAAATCATCCATCCTGGAGGCCCCAAAGCATCCACTTTCTAATTCAGAAGCCAGAGAAGTACCTGAACCACCTCAGGTGCACAAGTCAGGGCACATCTTCCCTGAGGGGCACAGCCTACTCTAGATCCAATTCCAGTCTCTCCCTACTTGGAAGAAACACAAGAAAACCTAGGTCAAGTCCAAAGCTACCCTGAAAATTTAGGCTCACTCTGGGTCTCTGCATATCTGGCTGGTTGGGAGAGATGAGTCAGGCTCCATTCTTCCTTACCTCAACCTAATACGTCATTATGCATCTGAACGAGCTGTGGAGAGGTTCACCTCCACGAACCTTTGTTTCTTTCTTTGTCAGGCCAGGGTAAACTACGCTTGAAGTCTCCATCAGCTCTGACAGGCAAATCCTAGGCGCACACAGTGACTCCTCATCACTGTGCCCTTCCAGCACTTCTCAAGCTGTTCCCCTTCTCTGTGTTTCAGGTTCTGAATGTTAATGTGAAGGCCACGGCCTTGCTGATAAAAGAAGTGGTTCCAGAGATGGAGAAACGAGGGTACAGAGAGTGAGAGGGAGCCTGAGTGAGACGGGGCCTCACAGGGGGTGAGGGCAGTGGTCTCCAGTGGAAACAGGATCAGCTCTCTTTTGTTTGTTTTCAGAGGTGGCTCAGTGGTGATTGTGTCTTCCATAGGAGCCTTCTATCCATTGCCTGTAAGAACCCCTTTGTCTGCCACTTCTAGCCCACTCTTCATTGCATATCTTTCCAACCCTTTCAGTCACCCAAAGAAATATGTGTCCTGCTTTAGAATCACATCACCCTTCCCGCTAAATAGATGCCTGCCTCCATGAACTCTAACTGCAACCCTCCCTTTAAGAGACACCTGTTGACCACTGCCCTTGATGTCGAATGAGAACCAAGAATGACCTGGTAATTAACATCCTAACCTACTCTCTTCTTTCCCCAGGGCCTGTGTCCTTACAATGTTAGTAAAACAGCCTTATTGGGCCTTACTAAGAACCTGGCCTTAGAGCTGGCTCAGAAGAACATTAGAGTGAACTGTTTGGCACCTGGACTCATCAAGACTAACTTCAGCAATATGGTGAGGAAGGGAAAGCCTGCAGCTCCCTGGGACCCTTTGAAGGGTATCCATCTTTTTGGATAGGGAAGCCTAGTACCTGCACCCTGAGCTTTCACCCACTTCTTTCCCCTTTTCCTGCCAGCTGCCCTTCTCAGAACAGACCCACACACTTTTCTGAAGTGCAGGGTAGACACTGTGGAATTCAGACTTTACTCAGTGTTTCATGTCTCCTAAAATGGGTGAGAATTGAGGAGACCCAGCAAGCCACATTGGGGTTAAAAGAATGAAACAGAGGAGGGCAATATGGGGAGATCTGGGAGTCAGGAAGCAATGGAGAGTGAAAGGAGAAGTCTTTCTATTGTTCTTATTTGTTGCCCCTCAGTTTCCCCTATTTGTACATAAAAATATTTCCCTTCTTCCTGCAGTTGTGGGCGGACAAGGCAAGAGAGGACAGTATAAAAGAATCCATGCATATTATGAGGTAAGCTGTCACAGGATGATTAAGAGGGATAAAGGTGAAAAGGTCTGGTCCCTAACTTAGCCCACAGCTATGTCTCCGTTCCACAGATAAAACAGCCATGCTCATCCCTGCTCACAGACTTCAAAGTTCTTAAACCTTCATTGCAGAGGCAGCCAAGGAGACTGCTTCCATTACAAAAAGCATAGGCATCAAGGTTTCAGCAGAGCCAAGCTGAAAGGATCCCTGACCCTCTCTATCTTCCTGTCTATCTCCACCTCTGGGCATCTGTGGAAACCAGGAATCAAACCAAAACCAAAACCATACCTTTTTAGTTAGTTCACCTTTAATAAACAGTCCTGTTTCCAAAGCTTAGGTTGATGATCCCACAAGCCAAATAAGAGGAATGAAAAGCTTTCCTAAGCTCCAAATTCCTTTGCATAAGGAAATTATTCTTTTCCCCAGTGGGCTGGCTAACTTGTTCAGACACCTTTGCAGAGCTCTCTTTCCTTTAAATTACCTGCTTCTCTCCACTTTTTGGCTCCTGGGCATTCCTGGCTGTCTTCTGCATCTTGACCCCCTCAAGGACAACGGCCAGTAATGCTGTGTCTTTATTGGTCCAAACATCTCAGACACAAGTCCTCCCAAAGCCATTCTGATGTCAGGCATGAGCTGCAGGCCTAGACAACTCAGTAAGTCTGGGTATTGTCATCAGCAACACCAATGAATGATCTAGCCCCCTGCATCACAACGCTGGATGAACATTAGAATCATCTGGGGAGCTTTCCAAATTGCAGTTGCTCAGATCCCAGAGCAAAGATTCTTCTTTACTTAGTCCAAGGGGGAACTTGAATATCTTTTTTCTTTTTTCCTTTTTGTTAAGCCTCTCAAATTCCAAAGTACTGTAACACACAGCTAGATTGGTAATCTAGGCCTTCTAGATTTGAACCACTCACTCTACCCATATCTACAACATTCTATGGCAGTGAGTTTAAGAGTTCCTAACTAGAGTATAAAACCACAAATACAATGAGAATTAGCACTTTCTTACAAAACAAATGCCATGAAAGGACAAAACCTGAAAGAACAAAAACAAATTCCTAAAGAAGCTATCTAAGGGCCTGGGATTTAGCTCAGTGGTTCCGCCACCTGCCTTGCAAGCACAAGGACCCAAGTTCAATCCCAGTACCAAAAACAAAAACAAACAAAAAAGAAGCTATCTATACTATACTGAAAGTGTACAAAAGGAATAATTTTAAACACTTTTTACCGACACAGATTTCCTGACACTTGAATAGAAATGTACACGTGAGAGCAATTCTTTTGAAGTAAGAAATAATCACTCACCATTTTATCAATAAAACTTTAGAGTTTGGAATTCTGAGCTCTCTACAAGGGGAGTGTCTGTATATTATTTAAATATAGGGCTGGGGATTTAGCTCAGTGGTTCTGCTGCCTGCCTCACAAGCACAGGGGCCTGAGTTCGAGCCCTGGTACCAAAAATAAGTAAACATAATTGTAATGGTGTTTGCAGAGTACAGTATTTATGCTTACACTAAATTATAACAACTTATGCTCATGCTAAGCAAAAAGCTCCTAGATTGTTCCTGAAAAAATCATCTAATAATTCTTACTTAAGCAAATTTCATTGGGCCAGGTGATGGGGGTTTGCTTATTTAATCTTTACTCCTTTCCTTCTTTCCCCTGTCCCCCAGGATCGGCAAGCCAGAGGAGTGTGCAGGCATCGTGTCTTTTATGTGCTCTGAAGACGCCAGCTACATCTCAGGGGAGACAGTGGTGGTAGGGGGAGGAACCCCATCCCGCCTCTGAGGACAAGGCCAGGCAGAGGTTAGCAGCCTTTCCCACCTCTGCCTATTTTATTTCTCACCCCACAAAATCGGTTCTGCCCTGTGATAGGGTCCCAGGCCTTCCCTGCGGACACAGTGGTCTTATGAGAGTTCTTACTGTTGCTGTGGCCTTGGATAAAGACTTCCCTTGAGAACACAGTGCAAGCCTGCTGAGAAGCCTGCATCCACCGTGGCAAAGACCAAGAATTTTTTTTTCCCCCTAGGTCTCTGAGGAATTTGAGGGGAGATGGGAGAGAACTTGGAGTGGAGCGAGCAGGCCTGGAAATTAACAGTTTGCAAATGAGGTGCAAATAAAATGCAAATGATCGTCTTGCTTTGAATCAGTGCGTTCATTTCTCAGTGTGGGGTGCTTAGGTATGGCAGCTGAACAGACAGCAGAAGTCTGGGCAGGCTGCATCGCTTGATCTCCAATGCCTCCTTCCTATCTCCAGGATCTGAGCTTGACGCTGCAGAGCTGCCAGCTAGGAGGAGATGGCTTGGGAACTCCCAGGTGCTACTCTCAGCCTCATATCCCCAGGGATAGATGCCAAGGACGCCGCGGGTATTCCCGAGGGTGGCTCGGCAAGCAGGAAAGGACGAACTCCTCAGATCCGCCCGGGTCTTCTCGTGGCATTGCCCTTGGTTCAGAATTCCCCCCAGGGTCAGCAAGGACTAGCTGGACCGGTCCAGAGCAGGCGGGGGTTAAAGGGCGGGACCCTACAAGGACGACCCGCGGTGGGTACCCAGGCCCATCAACAAAGAAATTGGGGGGAGTTCCACCTTAAGTGCCCGAGAAGAGTAGGTGGCACAGAAAGCAGGAATGCTGCCCTGAGCCCTGGAGACAGCGGGGACACCACGCGACGAGTACCGAGCCGCTCACGA